AAATAATCCCACACAGCTGACATTGGAAAACACAGATCAGACTTTTTTATTTAAAAAAACTAGAACAGATTTTTTTAACACATTTTTTTTTGCAAACACCGGCGGTCGATCAGATCCAGATATGGGATCAGGACCAGCCCAGTCAGCGTTTCCCAGCCAGCCGCTCTCAGCCAGTGTTCCTCCCACAGAATGGGGTCGTTGTTCAGTACAGGGCCCATCAGAGCTGCTTTAATTGGAGGAGCTAAGCAGAAACCCGACTCACCCGATAATGTCAGCAACATTAAAGCCGCCTTTCTGCTCCAGAGTTCAGGAAATGTTGAAAACCGATTCTAACCCCTGTGAAACAGGCTGTGGACTGACCCTGCTGCCTCTGGGCACACCGGGGACAAAGCTGAGAACAGCCACTGGAGATGCATTCTGTGTGTCAGCACTCTGACATGTGCATCCACCAGGAGCCCAGCTGTGGGCCTCTGGGGGGTCTGGGTGGTGCTAGAGGTGTGGGTCAAAGCTAGTCCTGGTGCTCTGTGATCCGGGGTTGGGGACACATTGGGCTGCTGTCATGTGTCCTTTGACACTTGTTGTTCATAAGTCTGACTGATTGGTTGGAAGAGCCAGTTTTACCTTTAGCAAAGTTTAGTTGTGATTTGAGTGAAAATACAGGCTGTAATTATGACAAAGGAGAACAAAGATTCAACGTTTACCTTTAATGTCCACATTTTTTTAAACACCCGTCACCTTTAAAAATGGGGACTAATCCATCTGTACATTATGCAGTACTGGGGATCCCCAGAAGGTGGCGCCTCTTCCCTGCGTGCTACTTCTTCTATGGAGAAAATGGAGTTGGTGGCTGCTTCCTGAGACCTGTTGGGGCTCAATCCTGATCTATAGAAATGGCGCACTGTGGGTTTTTGAGCAAACTGAAGGCTTTTAGGAGCCTCATTCAGTGAGGAGGAGAGCATGGACTCCCTGATGTTACCGGGTTCAACCAGCGAGTCCTCTGTGGTTGTTTGGATGATGCAGTGGTGGGCGTCAGAGCCTCCGTGGGCTGGCCAGTGGACCTGTTGTGGGGGGTGAGAGCTGGGGGCCGGCCTCCAGGCAGCAGTAAGGCAGAGGTGAGGGCTGTTGGTTCTGGCTGAACTGTGCCTGTTCAGTCAACAGCAGTCCCTCTGCCTCACTTTAAACGGTCGGTTAATCTTTTACTACCTGTCCTGAAGGGAGAAAAGGACGACTAGTTTACTGAGTCAACGACAACATAAAGGAGATAAACCCTGAACAGCAGCTCATCAGAAGTGGCATCATGAGTCAGGACCACTAAAAGGAGGCATGTTCAGGACCATCAGAATGTCTCTCAAGGGGATTTAAAAGCAGAAAAACAAAAAAACAATCAACAATTATACAGATAAAAAGTGAAGGGTTCAGCTGTTCCATCAGCTCAGCTAAACAGATGTTTTCATCTGGATTTAAACATCCAGAGT